TGTCAAAATTTTGGTGTCCTTCATTCGATTTCATCCTGGACACTACAGAAAATGGGCTTAAAGTGTAAAAAACCGAACTTCTCCTTTAAGTCCTGATTAAATAAACAAAACGTTGTTGTTCTCGTAAACAATGTTGAACATGGACATATTTATAAGATCTGACAAAACAAAGATGAACAGACTAGAATATGTGTAGCTCTGACTGAGATAGAGCCCAGGTCTATTTTAGTCGGTCTACGCAGCAATTCAGCAGCAATCTGACAGGAAGAGATTAATTACTAATTAATTTTACTAGACTTAAAGCAGATAAATGTTATTTTACAAATTTTATAATCCAACATTTTTACTGGACGTTGTGGGCGCATCGGAGCGAACTGGAGCGGAGCGAAATCCTTGCTCCCGCCTTTCAATTGAAAACCGCTCTGCGCTCCGCCATGTTTCTTCCGCCCGCTCCACTGCTGGCTCCGCTCACATGCTCTGGATGAATATCGTCTTTCCACTTCTATTCCTATAATCAGGACAAAGGTAGTGTTGGAATAAAGACAAAAAGTTAGCTGCATTCCACCTCAAAATGCAGAGAATGGTGTTTCAGAGTCGGAATTTAAACATTTTCAATTCAATTTGAAATGTAAAATTTAAAAATGAAAAAGCATTCTGAGCGGCGGGCGCAGCAGAGTGACGTCAGCAGCCGCTCTTCCTCAGGTCCTTGCTGACCAGGCTACCCATCTTGTTCGGTAGGGGGCGCTGATTATAGCTGTGTTTTCTCTTTAATTATGGCATAAAAGTGCAATGTTAAATAAGAAAATTCAAATGCAAATAGGATTATTGACTAATTTCATTTATGAGTCAAATAATGCAGCCACATTCTTAAAATGAAAACGCATTTCTGGAAATGCGTTTTTATTTTAAATATGGTAACGATTTGCTTCCATAGAAATCTTCCTAGCTTAAAGCCTGTATATAATCCTGTGTTGGGCTCCGTTTGAAACACTTCCTGTTCTGGAAAAACCTCCAGAATGATTGTTTCCCCTGCAGCTAATGTTGGTCTGGCACTGCTTAAGGATAGACAGTGGCGCCCTCTTCTGGATGTCAGCCAAACAACAACACTGAAAGGCCCTCAGTTAATCAGATGGGACTAATTTAAATCTAATAAAACCATTACACTTTCATAATAACTTTATTTTTCAACTTGGACAGATTTTATTTTGTCATTTTGTACACACAAGTGTATACAGAAATAAATTTTGTTGATCTATCTGTTTGCATCCTAACTTTATATATTTATGTAAATGTGTCTTAATTTGTTTCTGTTGGGTTCATAAATGTCGGTTTGCAAAAGAAGAACTGAAATACACAGTAATGGATACAATTTCTGCAGAAGGACACACTGTCTCCCACTGGCCCTCCTCCGCAGAGCGTTTTATTAACAGAACATGACACAT